TGCTTTACACTAAGATACACTTAATTTCCTTGCCATCCACTCGATTTTAACATTAGTATATACAGTAAGATAATTGAATAAACTTATAAAATAATTTTTAAATTACATTGCATGTAACCTCGATTATCCGAACTAATTCAATCCCAATTGTGGTCCCAACCACACCGGTTTGGGATAGACGAAAGTTCAGATAATGGAAATTTAAAATAATATTATTTGTACTATGAATATAAAATTATGATTGCATATTATTATCGACTTATTATACGTAATTATTATTATACATTAGGTACATATTGTGTTATATTACTCATTATTCATGTAAGAATACTACTAAATATTATAGACTTATTATAAATGTTTGTATTATTATTTGCAACTGATCGATGTACATTTTTTTAATACTGGAATAGAACTGATTTTTCTATACCAAGTTTGACCAAGATAAAAACAACAAGCTTTAATAATAATTAAAGGAAATACTTCTTTAGAAGCCTTGTGAGCACGAAGTTCAAAATTTAATAGTAAGAGCGAAGGCTGGAATACACTATTGGGCACTGGCATAATTTAAACATAAAACTTTTATTGTTTCTCACGTTTGTTTATAAATATTTTTTTGTTTTTAATGGCAAAAAATAAAAATCAAGTGGTACGTAATATTGTTTACAATCACCGTGAATGGTATATTGTTGGTAAAAATGTTTCGGGCAATAAGTAAAAGTGCCGTCTGCTAATATAACTTCAATTTCATTATATAATTCACCATTATTTGGTGTGATGTTTCAATGTTTGATTCCTTTACCTTATTAAGAGCATCTAAGAGTGGCACAGGTCCGGGGAGCGTATTACCAAACCCTATAGAGCCCCAGCGCCGTATTTTAATCCAGCACTACCATTGGTCCGTTTGAATTTTGCGCCATAATTATATTATCAATATTAAATTAATATCAATTTTTAATGATAATATTATAATACTGTATAATATACAGTTATATATTATAATTTATAAGATTATATATTTATTTATATATTATATGTATATACCTAAATAATGGATTAACATTTTTTCACTAATTCATTAAGATATACTATACTATAAAATATTAACTCAATGATCATTGCCATGACTTTAAGCGTTCATTTTGTTATTAGCGACATTTGTGTTAGAGATTATGAGGATTATGAGTACCAAGTTAATGTTATGGGAGAGACTTGTTTTTTTTTTTATATAATTTTCTGATATATATATTTCTTTATATATATTATATGTGTATAAACAATGTGTGTTATACTTATAATTTTACTTATACACAACATTTGTAGATTTAAATAAATAATTCACTAATTCATAAAAATATTTTTGTCCTATAGACTTTATAGTAGTACAAGATTAAAATATCATAAATAGTTATAAGCTTTATGTATTTTGTAAACTGTAATACATTATTATATTTTAAGTAACATGAGTAAACTAATATGCAAATATAGTAGTAGTACAAGTGTAGTAGTTAAATTGTAAATAATAATAATGGACCAACTATTTAAAACTTATATTTATATATTAATTAAATACATAGGTGAAATACTTAATACCTACGTTCACTTATAAAAAATGTACACAGAATTACATTTTTAATTTTGCGCCACAATTATAAAATATTATCATCCATTACAAACAGGATTATAATTAGATCTTCATGTTTTTGTTTAACAATAACAATCTATTCTCAATTCTAATATTGATAAAATTTATTAGGTATGAATTTCACTTTTGATACTGTCTAGTCATCGGCTTTATAAGTTTAAAATACTTTAAACAAGTACAATAAACATTTAAATTAGGTTTCTATTTGTTTTAATTGTAAATCATGAAAATCGAAGAACTTAATGAAATTTTACAATCATTTAAAGATTTTAAGGATTTTTTAAATTGTGTCATAAACGAAAAGAAATCATGCGTTGATTCAAATACATACATAATCCGAGCTGGTAATATTGAAGATGTTTTGTCYGCCAAAAAATTTATTCAACTGTTTAGTTCAGCATCTAACACCTCATATATATTGAATTTTGAGTTAAAAGATCCTAAAATGTAATTAAAATTATACAGCCAAGCCAATAAAGTCAGTGGGTCAATATTTATTTATTATAGATTGCTTAAAAAATATAACAATTTTTATTAATTTTGATAGTGATTGTTCATGCCGCTGATGTCAGCATTTCCGTCAGCAGTTCACCACATCTTAATCGGCGATAGCGTCCGGTACGTATAATATGCCATCCTTATCTCCCCGCACTTCACCTTTTCTTCTTACTACGTATTCAACATAATCTATATTAACTGTTGTTTTGGAACGTTTTGTTTGTGTGTGTGTGTGTGTGTGTGTGTCAACATAACCACAAAACGTTAAGTATTCGTATTCGTATTATATATAATATATAATACATAATATAATATAGTATGATGAATTGTATGTTCATTGTTCAAAATATACCAAATAATGGTTCATAGATAAAAATGAATGTCCTTATTTTATTCAACGCCCTCCTCTACAAACATTAACTATTGCATAGGGCAGCGTAAATTAGATTTGCCTAGGGCGACAAAAAACCTACGGCCAGCCCTGCATGTGCGTATACATTGTCGTTCATTATTATAACAATCTTTTTCTAATCCCTTTGTATTCTAAATTATCTATTCTCGCCATTACGGCAGAATATAAATCTGTCTTGTAAATTAACTGTTTTCGCCATTACGGAAAATTCAGTCGGTGWTTAATTCATCGTCGACAATTGATGTGCGCTGCCATTGAGGTACAATATACATACAATTGTATACATACATTGCGCCTGTGTTCATTCTTATACCATTTCGATTAAAACCTTGCCATCTACCTCTGCGGATAAGTACAGTAAGTACCACGTATTAGTTTCAACTTTCATCACCATCACCTTGGTGCAAACGTCGGTTGCTGCCTACCGGGGAATCTATCTATCGCCCGAGAATATCAGGTGGCAGAGAACTCAGCATAAGTCCGCCAGCAACCCAGTGTGTGTTGTGTGTGTGGCCGCCCAGGTCGTCCAGTTGTGCTGCTCACTGGATTGGGACGTCATCTACTGTATCTTTAAGTAATTTTAAGTTGGTAGTCTGTAAGAATGGCCCGATTTCTGTAAGCCTCGACGGTCATTGCACCATACCGGACCGACCACGAGGACCCCACCACAAATAATTAAACTGAATTTCCAATATTCCCTGYGTATAATCTGTTTCCGTTCCTTTGCGACATCTGCGTCTAGTCCTGTGTGGTTGCCGATTCAACGCCCACCAGAGATTCGCGATCGGACGCGTGCACGTTGTATTGCCTACCCAGTCAGTTACAAGGGGCATCAGTCGCTATGATCAAAACGGTCACCATACACAGTTCTTCACCCCACAATTGCTAACTCCGTGGTGCTCAAATCAAACAGTGATATTTCAYATATATTTCATATGCCATCATTCTTTAAAGAATAAGAGCACTACTACAATTACTGAACGCAATACTAACTGTAAGGCAACCATAGATATATTATTATTAAAAAAAAAATAAGAACACCAGAAAAAATGATCCATACCTAAAACTATCACCACTACTCGGCACCACATAACGCTGTTATTAAAATAGTATGRAATCATAATCATCCAATTATTTCCTGTGGCACAATGAAATATTTAAGAACAAACAGTGAAGTATGATTTCTTTCAATTGAATTTAATACTTAGTTCACTAATTATAACTAGACTAAATATACTAACTTTGACAAGTTTAAAGCACCTGTAATATTCTATGTTTAAGACTGACAATACTTTTATCCAGTATTTTGAAAATGGGTTATCTCCTAATGAAGCAAGGCATTCTCGTGAAAGTAAACTTTTGTTACAAGAGAACTCATGCTCATTACTTGCAAATGCCGCCTTAAATCCTACAAAAAGGCATATATATCATRTTCATGATGAAGGGGGAAAAACAATTTTGATTCCATTAATACCCCCTTGCTTATGTTACAAGAAAAAATATCTACATATGCCAAAAGTAACTATAAGGGAAATATTATAATGGATAGGTGTTTAGTAAAACTTACCGGAATTAGTTTAATGGTAGTTCAATAGTTATAATAAGTATAAAGACATCAATAATAGTAACTATTTGAACTGTTCAAAGGGTTAAATATTTTACTTGTTCCTATATTTTGTTATAATAAAACTGTTAAGTTTTTAACTAATTAATTATATTTACGTGATATATGTAAATAGAAAGGTGTATTAAGGCTATTTAAAAAAAAATATTTATAATAAAAAAAATATACTTAATTACCTACATTTTTAAATATTGTTTTGAATTTTCACCAATTATAAGGGTTTAAACTGTTTAAAGTACTTTAAATTTAAATTTCTATTATATCGACAATTATATATAACAAACAATTACTAATATGAAATAATGAAACAAGGTTCCTTATATATTAACTTGGTGTACTTGATGTACTCAAAAATAAATTATATCAACACAAATACACAATGCTAAATGTTAATAGTYCATAATCGGTTGATTTGCATTTACGTGGGTGTACTTTGAGTAATTGATTGGTCTACTAAAATTACACACAAATAGCCGCCTTGATGGCTACAATGCTAGAATACATTCATAGAACATGATCTAGGATAATATTAGTAATAATGAATMATGTTAATCGATAAATCACTTAGCTAAATATCKAAAAAAAAATAATAATAATAAAATATTGGAAAAGTATAGAATTTTCGGGCTAGTGTTTCTCTTCAATTCGAATGTATTTGAGGGGGGATACTGCATTACATAAATATGAAAACGTAGAAAGGATTGTGATGGGATGGTAGTTAAAAACGTTCTGTAATGACTAAAGATCACCAGAACTTAGGATGRGCGTAATGACTCCCAGATTTAGACAAGATTGGGGAAGAGCAAGATGAGGATATTTAACTATAGATAACTGGTATATAACTCATGTATTGGCTCTGCAGATCTCGGTGAATTTATTTTCAGCTGTCTTTTTTGCTTCAGYCCCTCAACACTGTTATTCATGCCGTACAATGCGTATATGAATAGTCCGATCACCAACCAAATACTGAAACGGATCCACGTGATCATGTCGAGTTTCATCATCAAGTAAACGTTCATCAAGATACTGATACACGGTATGAGTGGAACCAGCGGGACCTACRAAAAAAAAACATAAGCTTATTTAAAATGTTTATTTTATATTTATTAAACAAAATAAACACCTACGAATGAATAGTAATCAATAATCTCAAATACTATAATATATTAAGTACATACTGGTTCAAAAACATTTTGTCCATCAATGTATTACATTCTAATCGAACCGATTTGTCATTATTTTTTGACAGAAGTGAAAATGCTTCAATTTTCAAATGTAGAGTGACTTTAATCAAGAGATGAAGTCCAGTCGAAATTAAAAGATTATCATTTATTTTTTTAAATAAAATATGTCAAAACAAAACAAACAAACAATTTGGGCGAGTGGGTAACACACTGCTGTAGGTACAGTAGATGTTGAGTAACGTCACTGTAATGAATKAGTTAAATGGATGATTTTATTGAATATCATTGAACTCAAATTTAAAACATTTGTGATACCACAGTAACCTACTCAACGGCTACTATTTAATTGGCTTCCAATTTCRAGTAAATTTGATGTCGACCTTTGAATTGGCYCCTGGAAAATGTATAATTTAATTGGCTCTCCAAACTTAATTTATTTTTATTCAACCAGGAGTTCGCATACTATATGCGTTTCCTTTTACGACGTTAACCTAACCTAATCAGGCAGTTTAATTGCTTATGAGAATTTTTATTTTAAATTTTCAATCYTCAGTTATAAAAATCGAACAATTTTTTTTGTTTTTCCCGCTTATGAAAACTTTTTGACATTTTCGATTTTGACCAATTAGAAGTACCAACTAGATCCAATTCACCTCTAGATATCATCCCCTAAAGTTGAAAAATGAAGTATTTTTAGACTATTTTTCGTGTACACAAGACATAAATAAAAATTAAAAATCATTGTCATACGATTTATARTGATCATTTTTTTCTAAATCATCTCGGTTTTTTTAATACAATTTTTTCATAAACCATTACTGCATCTGGATAATTGTATAGGTACGTTTTATTATGACACTCAWCAAAGAGATCTATAATGATTTTTACCTTGAACGAGAGTTTTTTTCTCGATTGGGGCTGTCTGCTCAGTAACAGCAACAGAAGCAATAGTCCTATGGCTAAAATCACGCTCGTGTACTTTGTGATGTTGTTAGCGACGCATGGTTGTTCAAAAGGCGTTGTGGCATTATAAGTGTTTATGACGCAACCTGACTGGAAGGTCGCGGCATTGCTGTCACTTTCGTCACACCATGGATAGATGATTACATCGCACTCTTGTTGTATGGTTACGAAGCTAAATAGCGCAGACACGCAAACTGAAAAACCCATTAAATTAATATAATATTATGATATATTTAAAAATTATCAATAATTGATCTTCGATGGGTTATCCTWTTTTGGCACATACTGTACAACACAGTGATGGTCGTAGCCACGCGCTCGGTGTCTTTGTTGGTGTTATCGATTTTGGACAGGTTACAGAACTTTTCCACCATTTTGACAAAACCACTAGTCTCTGGTTCGTCGTTGCCTAGATTTTCCACAAACACACCGCCATCAAAATCGTTTCTGTATCGTAACATCAGAACGCAAATGCACACGATCGTGTACGCCAACAACGTGCCGATCGACATCATATTCATCAGTTGATCAAGGTTCAAAAGTGCCGTGATAATACCTAACGGTTGTCGTTTATTAATCGCACAAGGTCAATATTGTAGTCGCTAATCATAAACCATGCAATCGTATTATTATATTTACCCGCAAAAACACCAGACATCAGAGTGGCAAACAGTGGTGTTTTAAGCTTCGGATGAATGATCGAGAACATGCTGAACATGAGACCGTCTTCGGCCATCGTCATTAGAATCCTTGGCATCGAGAACATGCTTGCTAAGAGACTGTTATGTTCATAGTGAATTTGCGATCAAGATATAATTTAGGTTATTGATAAAATTGTTCTTACCTGGCAAACATGGCAAATATAGCACCGAATGAAACAATAATGTTCAATGTTGTCCATCCAAGTTGATCGTAGACGTACGGGAATGGCGCGTCAATATCCTATAACGTGTGATATAATATGGAAAGATATAGTTTGATTGTTCTTAGTTAAATATTAAAAACACAATTTTAATAAAAACAGAGTTCGTGGAGTCGAAATATAAGTTAATATAGACTGTGGTATTATAATGATAGACAAAAATATACTAAGTATGTTGATAGTATCTATATTAATATTGAATTTTATGTACTTATACAATGCCTAGTATTTTTTAAATATTGGGAAAATAATAATATTRATTAATACTATGTGTAAAACTATTGTGATTTAGTATAGRTATAGCCTACCTAATTCGCCATGTATAACGTAATAACATCAATACTTCAAAAAAAACATTTATGTGAAATGAGAGTCAAATTCTATATTAGTATAATATATGTCTTGGYTGTTGACTTAAATGACAAAAGAAATGAGATATAAATTATAAAAACTTAACATATTTGTTAAAAGAGAATTAGGACAGCCACCCAAAAGAAAATAAAAATGTATGAAAATATTCAATATAAATTAAAAATATTAACTGCTGAATATAATAATGGCGATAGAACCATAAATAACTTTTTACTTGCAATAAGTAATGTGATAAAACATTTAAAATAGTCATAATATACTATAATTATTTTATATTAGTTCTAATAGTTCCTCAATTTAAGTACTTKTTTAAAATTGATTATGATATTAATAATATTATTAACACTGTTTTATACAAGTTATTGCCGAATTATAATTATTTTATCATGACAAAAATGTTAATTTATGTAACTATTCAATTTTATATTATGATATTAATAACTATAAACAGATGTATGTTATTTTATAAAAGTTGACGAATTATTATTATATTATTATGATAACTATTATTTTGTGTAACTTTGTTTAATTTTTTTAAATTTACTCAAAATAATATCAAATATGAATATATACATTTTATTTTAATGTATACGTATTGATATGTTTTTAAAAATAATAATTATTTTTTCAATTTTTTATGTCAGATAGATATTATTTCCTTTGGCATTTTTTCCGTGGGTATTTCTTCCTCRGGTAATTTTTTCTAGATTCAYAGTAAACGAAGGGTAAATTTTTAATATGAAATTGAACAAAACCTGATCGTAATACGGCCATAACAGAGTTAAAACCGAACTGATACAGCAATATGCAAACGTTATGATGATCAACGACAAAAWAATCGCCAAYGGGATGTCACGTTTTGGTTTTTTCGCTTCTTCTCCTGTGTAAGAAAAATATTATTTAACTGATTTTATAGGTAGGTATGTATTTCTTATAGCTTAAAAATGCCATGGATTGTATTTTGTTCCATTTGATTCTCACCCGTAGTAGCTATGGAGTCAAAACCGATGAATCCATAAAAACATTTGGCAGCCCCCGTAGTCACTCCGGCCCATCCGAAAGGCATAAAACCACCTTCACCGCCTTTCGCGTTTCTCGGGATGTCTTGTTTTGGTACACTCCAATTATACAAATTTACTATAAAAGTGATAATCAAATATTGTATTATCGTACAGTTTTATTATCATTTATCAATACTGTTGATATATGGTTTACATAAAAATATATATTACTTTTAAATAATCCAGACACAACAACTATGACCACAGTCAATAAATTAACTACTGTAAATACGTTGTTGATCATTGTAGATTCGCGGACTCCCCATGACAGTATAACTGCAAATTAAATAATGATTTATCGTTAATATATTAGTACGTGAATTGTTGTGTTTCGTGTTTTCAACAATTTTCTACTTACCCGATAATAGTAGCACGAGGCTAAGCGACAAAACATCTGGGTATTCGGCTAAAAAACTAACGTCCATAGGAAAGAGAGAGGACATTGTGCTTTTTATGGGGTAGTCCAACAGGGCGTCGATGTAATTACTCAAAGCTTTGGCGACGCTTGCAGTACCTGTAATGCGCGTGTTTACAAAAAATTAGTTCATAATAGGTAATACTACATTTTAACACATTTCATAGGTATTAAAATTGTCTAACTAACGCGTGATGAAATTTGTTTTTGAAATACCTAATATATATGTAGAATACAAATGTATTATAATAATATACTTTTAGTAAACGTTTAAATAAATACATTTTATGGTATAGAATCTGTTGCAGTTGTCTTCAATTGTTGTGTCACGGACTAAGTTTGGGTTAGACAAGGTTAAAAATGAGTCACGAGTACTTATACTCAAAGCTATTAAAAAAGATGCCTACCTCGTAAACATTTATTTGGTTCACTTAAATGGAGAAAACAAATTTAATATATCAAATATTATACTACATTAATCACGAATTTGCACATTTTTACACATTCCAGTATCTATAAACCAATATTGATGAACAACAATTACGTATATAGAAATTAATTTCGGTGGGTGGCGGGGGGAGGGGGGCTACAAAAAATTAATATTTCAACACTCCCTCATCCTTAAATTCTAATTAGTTACGCCCGTACCAACTAAACATTTCAGGGGGATGGGGTGAAACCCCAAACACTCCCTCTCTAAATACACTACTAATGAACAATTAACTTTTTTATTCTTAAAACACTGGTCACAAAAAATAAATAATAGCGAAAATGGRGCTAGATAAGGTTGAAAACCACTATTCATTACTGTATGAATACTTTATAGTGTATTATATTATTTTTATCAACTCGCCAACGCGTTGGTATTATATCGTAGATTCCAGTTTTAAGCCCCTAATTTTGTTTCCTTCATCAGTCTAATATATCAAAGCATCTCATGGTTAATGATAAATAACATCACTCACCGATGACGTATTCGAGTATTAGATTCCATCCGATCACGTACGCAACGAATTCGCCCACGCCGACATAACTGTAAACGTAGGCGGACCCGGCTCTTGGTACCCTAGCTGCAAATTCTGCGTAACATAGGCCTGTGGATAAAATAATATATATATAAACATATGTATTATTATAACCAATTGAGTCATAATATTGGTAATTTATTGTGGTTTGGACAAAGTAGAGTGCACGGTTGTCCAATAGTATAGGTAGTACGTACTTTGATAAGAAACAGACAAATAGTCACATGCTTTGAACAGTAAGTCCTAATGCAATGTAATTGAAACTTCACAGTTTTCAGTACCTAAATCTAGATGCATAGGCTGCTTTTATTTTGAAGTCCTATCCTTACAAGGTAGCTTAAACATGAATTATTTCATGAAAGYACTAGAGTTCAATTCGTTTTAATTTATATTTCTGGTTGCTGATGGTTACACAATTATTATTCCTAAGTATTTTTAATAATTGCGATGTCTTGTACAACAATTACTTGTTGTGATCTTTTATAATTTATAAGAAAATCAATTTAAAAACATGCAATTAATGAAGTAATTAAAAAATATAACTTTATTATTTAAAAATAATAATTTAATTTAAATCCCGGGATAGTTTAATTTATAAATCAAAATTTATTTTAACGTTGCTTCCTTTCTCTTTAAAATCACTGATTGGATTATAGATTTCAACTATCGGGTAGCTCTGTTCTTTTGTGAGGTTCTATAAATAGTGCCAAAGATCTGATTTATATAGGTATCTAGACAATTTAACGAGTTAAAAAGAATATAGTGACGAATAATAAAAATGTTTAATTTGTTTCTAAGGAGCAATACTTGACTGTATATAACATTTTTGTTGTTTATGAGTGTTGTGTTTCCTTTATATCCAAGTGTAGTATAATAAGCGTCAACCATACGCTATGAATATGAGTATTTATATTTTATAGTAAAACGATGAATGTTACATAATATGTATGTAATTATGATTATAATTACATAATAATTTATAACATGTATATATATAATATAATATAATATAATATATAATATAATACATTATAATCATAATATGTAATTATAATTACATAATATGATGGTGATTTAACTTATGTCTTATTTTATTAGTGTTCGGTATATTTGTTTATGAAAATCCAACCAATGAGCCGGAAACAGATGTCCTATAATTCAATTAGTTTTTTGTTAAACATTTATTTTTATCTTGTATCACCTGCGACAACCGACGCCAAAGCAGCCAAAACGAATGACATCACGACGGCTGGTCCGGCATCTAYTCTGGCAACGTTTCCTGGAAGCACATATACGCCCACGCCCAACGTTGACCCAACACCTAGTGCTGTCAAGTCCACCAGATTGAGGACCCTGGACAATTTCTTCTTGTCCGATTGGTCGACTTCTATGTCATCCTCTTTTTTCCGCCTGAATATCACCTGATACAGGGTTTCTCGCTGTAAATTAAAACCATCCATTAATTTAGATATTATTACAATATTTTGAATAGAAACGAAGAAATCACGAAGAGTTAATATTATGAATTAAGTATTAAAAATCAACAATTAACGAGTTATTATTATTATTATTTATTGAAATTCGATAAGCTAGTTTCCTTTTTCACTACTGCTTGAAAAAACAAACTAATATACAACATGCGTATACTATAATTATTTTAATATATTATAAATTAGCATTTTCAGCATCGGCGTTTTCCTTTAAACTTGTTGTTAGTCAATAGTGATATCTATTATAAGATAAGTAATTAAAATGGATCATTAAAAAAGTAATAGTCATTTAGACTAAYCATTACAAACTAAAATTTATAATAATAAATCAAAGAAGCATTAATTCTTTCAGTTTATTTATTTATGCCTAAAATTCTTTAAAACTATACATTTAAATTTCAAAATATTACTGTTTGACAANAGTATTTATATTTTATAGTAAAACGATGAATGTTACATAATATGTATGTAATTATGATTATAATTACATAATAATTTATAACATGTATATATATAATATAATATAATATAATATATAATATAATACATTATAATCATAATATGTAATTATAATTACATAATATGATGGTGATTTAACTTATGTCTTATTTTATTAGTGTTCGGTATATTTGTTTATGAAAATCCAACCAATGAGCCGGAAACAGATGTCCTATAATTCAATTAGTTTTTTGTTAAACATTTATTTTTATCTTGTATCACCTGCGACAACCGACGCCAAAGCAGCCAAAACGAATGACATCACGACGGCTGGTCCGGCATCTAYTCTGGCAACGTTTCCTGGAAGCACATATACGCCCACGCCCAACGTTGACCCAACACCTAGTGCTGTCAAGTCCACCAGATTGAGGACCCTGGACAATTTCTTCTTGTCCGATTGGTCGACTTCTATGTCATCCTCTTTTTTCCGCCTGAATATCACCTGATACAGGGTTTCTCGCTGTAAATTAAAACCATCCATTAATTTAGATATTATTACAATATTTTGAATAGAAACGAAGAAATCACGAAGAGTTAATATTATGAATTAAGTATTAAAAATCAACAATTAACGAGTTATTATTATTATTATTTATTGAAATTCGATAAGCTAGTTTCCTTTTTCACTACTGCTTGAAAAAACAAACTAATATACAACATGCGTATACTATAATTATTTTAATATATTATAAATTAGCATTTTCAGCATCGGCGTATTCCTTTAAACTTGTTGTTAGTCAATAGTGATATCTATTATAAGATAAGTAATTAAAATGGATCATTAAAAAAGTAATAGTCATTTAGACTAAYCATTACAAACTAAAATTTATAATAATAAATCAAAGAAGCATTAATTCTTTCAGTTTATTTATTTATGCCTAAAATTCTTTAAAACTATACATTTAAATTTCAAAATATTACTGTTTGACAAGTAATATAATTTTCTTTTTTATATCCAATATAATAATATGTCTAATTCGTCTATGGYCTATAATACAACTTTGGTAGATGGTAGTACCAGCTCATTGGTATTTATAAACAGGCTCATTAAAGCTTATACAAAATACTAGAATGTAATTCCGAAAAAATTAGTCATAATAATATTTGGAGTGCAATTGAAATCAATTATGTCAAAAATTTATATTTTTTCAAATTTTTTTTTGTTTACCAACGCTTTCTAAATCTAGGTACAGGGAATGTTGACTTTCCGAATGAACCAACTAGATTTACTTTCCTATCAAAAAAGATGCTGATGTAAAGAATCAGAATAGTTTACTACCCAAAATATTAATAAAACGAACAAAACTCATCATTAAATCTATAGCTTCACTGTGAATCTAAAATGTTAAATATTACTAGTTTTTACCTTTGTTGTTCCGCAAAGTTGCGTTACAGAATTTCCATACGATTCCATAGAGCTTTTTGTTGCTTGAATATTTTAAACAAAATATATCCTGTAAGTATCATGATTATTAGGTTATATAACATTTATAACAAATAATATTAGTATTACTGRTTTATCAGCAACTTTAAAATAAAATAAACWTTATATTTTTAAGATTGTGTGATAATGAGTTACAAAATTCCAACTATCTCATTTAATAKAACTAGACACACTCATTTGTCATCTTAAATGTAAGTAATGTATTAAGTTGATATTTAAAAGCTCAAAATTAGCTTTATTAATTTGCAGTTACGCACTTGTATACTGAGACAATAAATCCGGATGAGCGGATGCTCTCTTAATTCTAAACATTTTGCAATAAAAAATATACCACTATAATTTTAGTCTTCCAACCTAACCATATAAAGCCAGGATCTAAAAATCTCAATAATTGTTACATATCAAAATAGAAGTTTTAAAGGACAAAAACTAAGGACTTATCAATTCGGTAGGTAACTAGATCCAATTCCTATTCGCTTCATATATTATTACAAACATTGATATTATAAAATAAGTTGTTATCCTATACAAATTTAAAAAATTACAAATTCATTTAAACAGACCTTTAAAATAGCCAAGTCTCCTAATTCAATAACACMTATCCTTATGGGTACCCTGGTCGAGATATCAATGTCTCATATCATAATAATAACGAGATGGTTATGATTGGAATATTTTGGTGGGCAGATCCTTTGGTAGACACATAACTAGGCATAAAATAATAATAATTTAGTGACGATATGCGTTAGCAAGTGACATGTCGCGTAAACTTGAACTAAATATGAACTTTAGYGATCATATCATGTCACCTACGTATAAAGATACACCAACTGAAACTAGTATAAGGTCTATATAGTTGTAAACAGCATTTGTGCGTTACGTAATTGTATACAATTATGGTAGAGGGAGGAGTGCGTTTAGAAAAAACAAACAAAATATACAATGAGTATTACTGGAATGGGTAACAATGAACAATGTTATCAGAAAAATATTAGGTATACTTTATACCTTTTTTGTTTATGGCTAAAATCTAAATAGATATTTATAGTGGCTGCTACACCAACATTACAAAATTGTAAATTATTGTACTTTTTAGAAAGGATCATAACTCACTTTATAATTAAAATAATAATAATAAAAAAAATTTATGAGGTTTACTAGATAATATTCTCACTTCTAAATTTGATAAAAAGTCAACCCAATATCAAACACACCATAGTTGAGTAAATTATTTAGAGCGTGCAATTCGGTTTGTCAAGCGTTTGGTACACATCATTTTATGTGGGTGTAGGATCCTTTAAATAAAATAAAAAGACAWAATTTCAACATAGACACATTCATACTTACAAGATATTATCTATTTGGAAGAACAAATGCAGCTTAGTATCAGGCAGTGACATATACAAGAATACAATAATATAAAACACAGCTACAAGACACAAGCAACAAGTGCYTAATGCCCACAATACGACAACTGATAACGAACAGCAGACGGCAGGATATAGATAGTAAAATAGATGAAATCCAAAGAACTCGTTAAATGAATGTGAAATAGAGAAACGTAGAAATTCGTATACAAAACTTTAAGAGAAAATTAATTTTGTTAATGTAATARTATAGATTAAGATAGCGGTACAGCGGCGTTCTGTACACCACAAGCGCAGCATATATTATTATATTATCGTTTGCCACCAAGCCGTTTAGCTATGCTGCTGCGAAGTACAAACACGCATCATTCAGCCATTGGCCCATGAGACGTGTAACCGACGCCAAGGATACCAGTCTAACCATTTGCAACATTTTCCAATGTATACATTTGCCCATAATTGTACTTACCTTTTACTTCTTTAAACCAAGGCTTACACATCCAGTACCATTGTTATTATTAGGTGATACCCCAGTTCTCCAGGAGTGATAAGAGTGGTTATGCGGCAGTTACCCTGTGGTTACAATGTGACCAACTTGAGGTGGTGTTGCACAGCAAGTCGAGGGGTATTTTCGATCAGCGGAGCGGAACGACGGCGCCAAGGAGAGTAGCGACGAGTGCCGCTAGCATGGCATCACTGACGTAACTTATTTCGTATTGGTGTCACTGCTAGATCCCTGGTATATGCTTTATCACATTTCATATCACACTCCGGGAGAACAACTAGTAGGTACCTTTATTATTATTATTAATTTTGAGTTGTAACGTAACAAAAGGACGCGCTACAGTAACGTCTGTAACAGCGTTACTTTATTTGTAAAGCTTTGCGTAATTTCATTGAATTATTTCCAAGTAACGAAAATATAGGTAATGGAAATTACTTTTGATAAGTAATAGTATATAATAGTAATAGTAATAATTTTTGTAGAATGAAATATTTAAAAAAATATTCTACTTTGGAATATGAAATTAAAAAAATGTGTGTGTTTTTTCAAAAGAGTAAGAAACTTAAAATTATTTTCCAATAATATTGTCTTATAATGACTCAACATTGTCTTAAATATTATCAAAAACATAAGTCTGAAGAAATAGAATCTTACGTTAAATGGCTTCCTT